GCACGTGAGAGAGGGCGGATGGAAGGTTGGGTTGGGTGAGATGGGAGGGCCGTGTGGGCTGGGTGGTTGGGTCAGGGTCACGCGGTCGGCAGGCGTCGATGAGGGGGCGGGCCGAGGCTCTGGCGAGTTTCAGCCGCCAGAGCACCCCCACGCCCGCAAGGCCCTGCCCCGCGCGCGGCACCGCGCGCTGCCCCCGCCGTGGCCCGCCCGCCCCAAGGCACGCGGCGGCGCCAGTCTCTCCACCAACCCTAAACCCTTGACCCTGCGCGCCCGCGGCTACTTTTTTTTCACCCCACAACCCCAGGCCCTGCGCGCCGGCGGCTACTTCAAGCCCGAGTCCGCCCCCGCACCCGACGCCCCCGCCGCCGCGAGCGCCGCCGCCGCCGCGCCTCTGCCGCCGCTGCTGGCGTCCCTGCGGGACCGCCTGGGCGGCGCCGCCCCCGCCGCTGCGGACGCGGCAGACGAAGAGATGCGGGATGCGTCCGTCGATGGCGCGGCAGCTGCGGTCGACGGGGAGGCGCAGGCGGGGGACGAGGAGGGGCCCCTGCTGGCGGTGGCGGCGCTGCGGGCTCTGGGGCTGATGGTTCACTTTCTGAGGGAGGGGCTGCTCGACGGCGCGCTGCTGCCTCACGCGCGGTTCGAGGCGCTGGCCGGCGGCCCGGGCGCGGAGGTGGGGGGTTGGGGGCCTGGGGCGGTGGCGCTCTGTGGTGTTCCCAGGATGCATGTCTGGGCTGCGGTGGGGGTGGGCGAGGGAGCGAGGGGGACTGGACGCAGCGCAGACGCGTGCCGATGGCATACGGCGACGCCACCAAGCGGGGACCCCCGGCGGGGCAGCCGCGGCGGCGCGTGCTTCCTGCCGGGTCGCGGCCCGCTCGGCCTCGCGGCCTCGCCGCTGACAACATATTATGTACCCGTGTCACGCGGTCCCCACCGCGGGACGCCCGCAGGCCGACGCGGCGGTGCATCGCGGCAGCGACGCGCCCGCGCTGATGGCGCTGGACGGCGCTGCGCTGGAGAGCCTTGAGCTTCTTGAGAACAGCGCGGGGGGCACCGCGGGTGGGACGGGGGCGTTGGTTGCTGCTCTGAGAGTGTTGTTGATGTTGGACTGCGGTTGAGGGGGCTGCTGCCATTGGGGGCCTCCGGTCCCCTGAGAGGACTGTTGCGTTTGACGTTTGATTGAACCAGCCTGGAGCCACCGGAAGACAGCACGAGGGGGGGGGGCGCCGCGGGTGAGACGTGAGCGTTGATTGCTGCAGGCGGGGGCTGTGCCGCAAGCACTCTTCAGGTGTTGGTGATGGATACGTGTCCCGTTTCCGAGGTGTCTACCCGGGATGGGATGCCTCCAGCGCTCCCTTTTGCATGCCACGTCCCCGTTTGCCCCATCTCTGTGCCTTCTCCACCGGAGGATCCTATCCCGCAACAAACTCCCACCTTGCCCCAACCATCACTGTCACCGGCACTCATCATCAACCAGGCACCCTCCTAGCGCTGCTGGACCACTGCACCACGCCCTTCGGCCGGCGGCGGCTGCGGCGGTGGCTGGTGCGGCCGCTGCTGCGAGCCGGCGACATTGCGCGGCGCCAGGACGCGGTGGAGGTGGGCGGTGGGGGGGGGTTGGATGTGATGTCACGTGGTGTCATCGCGACATCACTTGATGTCACGGGTGGTGGTGATGCCATGCGGTGTCACGTGTAGGCGTGATTTCGCGTGGTGTCGTTGGTGGTTGGTTGTGACGTCCAGCGGCGCGATGGAAACATCGTACCTTGGCACCCTTGAAGCCCCCATCCACCTACCCACCCGCATGCAGCCTTGCGCTGCAGCCTACATTCCTCTCAAGTGAGCACTGAAACACATTGAACGACATCAGTTCACCTGGATGGCATCAGTAATCTGCACACCACACACCAGCCTCCACCCCCGATCCCCCCCCCCCGCCAGGAGCTGATGTCATCGCTGGCCGACGCCGCCGGCTCCGCGCGCCGCGCGCTGGCGGGCGTGTGCGACCTCGAGCGCGCGCTGGCGCGGCTCGCGGCCTCCGCCGGCGGCGAGGGCGGCGGCGTGGTGGGTCCCCGGGGGGTCCGCTTCGGCGGCAAGGCAGGCGACCGGCACCCAATCTTTGGCTTTTCCTCGTCTCTATTTACGCCGCCTCTGGCGCTGGGCTGTTTTTCGAGATGAGAAGATCGCCAGGGTCAACAATTCACGGCTCCTTGGACCTGGGCTCCTGATGGGCTAGAAAAAGGTTGAGGAGGCAGCGTCGCATTTCCGGATGACGTCACCCGCACGTCACCCGCACGTAACCCGCGCGCCGCCGCCCGGCGTCACCCGCCCGCCGTGCAGGGTCGTGAGGCGCCCCACGTGATCCTCTACGAGGACGTCAGCCGCAAGAGGGTGAAGCGGCTGGTGGGGGCGGTGCGCGACATGGGGGCCGTCGGGCGGGCCCTCAGGGCGCTCGATAAGGTGCGGAGACAAAAGGTCGAATGACTTGCAGCAGGGGCAGCTAGCGGGAGGGGAACATGGGGGCGGTCAGGCCGGCCGGGCGCTGCTCGCCGCTGCTGCTTGCGCTGGATGCTTTTGTCCTTTGGTGGTGGTTTTGCGTGGCCCAAAAAAGCGCTTTGGGGTTTTTTTTGGGCGGCGCTCGTTGGTGCGCTGGCGTGCGTTTGCTCGGGAGAGTGGTGGCTCCCCGGGGTTTGGGATGGGGGGACGTGTGCAATGCCGCAAAAGGGGCCCAGGCTTGACTTGCCGGCGGCCGCGGGGGCCGCGTGGGGTGCGGCACGGCGCGGGGCGGTGCCGCGCTCGGCGGCGGGCACCGCCCCCTGAGTCCGTATCCCTCGCCACCGCGCAGCCGGCCATCTATCGAGACGAGCCAGACCTCAAAAGCCTTGTCACCTCCCCGCACCCCCAAAAGTACGACCCCGTGCTCGTTCACGCCGCGCGCTCTCCATTTATCCTCGCCCTAGCCCTCACCCCTCAGCCCCCCCTCTCCGGCCC